GACGGTGATGTTCGACGAGATTGACGCCTCCGGCAACATGCTGGTCGACGAGGAGGAGTTCAAGCGCGCCGTGCCCAAGCTTGAGGCGTGGGGCGCCAAGGTCGAGGATCCCGCGGCGCTGTTCAAGGAGCTCGATAAGAACGGCACTGGGTCCGTGACGTTCGACGAGTTTGCTGCGTGGGCTTCTGCAGTCAAACTGGACGCCGACGGCGACCCGGACAACGTGCCGGAGAGCGCGTGAAGCTCGCGGCCGCAGAGTGACGTGCCCGCGCCGCCGCCAATGTAAACACCGTGTCCGCATGCGGCGGGGCACCTGTTTTTGCTGGGCGGAGCACATTCTCCACTTTATGTAGTTGATGGTCATTTTTACCTGCGACTGTCGTTGTGTTTGTGTGTGTGTGTGTGTGTGTTTGCTCCTGTGCCCTTGTTGCTGTGTTTCTTCTGTGCCGCTGTGGGCCTTGGTGCCACCTCTCTCTTTCTGTTGTGGGTTTGTGTGCTTGCGCGCAGGTTGCGCAACAGTCGATAATAAGCCGAGTCAAGGAGAGCAACGAGATGGGTGCTTGTGGGTCGAAGGACTCGACGAGCGACAAGGGGTTGGCGAGCGATAAGGACGGCAAGAACGCCAAGGACCGCAAGGAAGCGTGGGAGCGCATTCGCCAGGCGATTCCTCGTGAGAAGACCGCCGAGGCAAAACAGCGCCGCATCGAGCTCTTCAAGAAGTTCGACAAGAACGAGACCGGGAAGCTGTGCTACGATGAGGTGCACAGCGGCTGCCTCGAGGTGCTGAAGTTGGACGAGTTCACGCCGCGAGTGCGCGACATCACGAAGCGTGCATTCGACAAGGCGAGGGCCCTGGGCAGCAAGCTGGAGAACAAGGGCTCCGAGGACTTTGTTGAATTTCTGGAGTTCCGTCTGATGCTGTGCTACATCTACGACTTCTTCGAGCTGACGGTGATGTTCGACGAGATTGACGCCTCCGGCAACATGCTGGTCGACGAGGAGGAGTTCAAGCGCGCCGTGCCCAAGCTTGAGGCGTGGGGCGCCAAGGTCGAGGATCCCGCGGCGCTGTTCAAGGAGCTCGATAAGAACGGCACTGGGTCCGTGACGTTCGACGAGTTTGCTGCGTGGGCTTCTGCAGTCAAACTGGACGCCGACGGCGACCCGGACAACGTGCCGGAGAGCGCGTGAAGCTCGCGGCCGCAGAGTGACGTGCCCGCGCCGCCGCCAATGTAAACACCGTGTCCGCATGCGGCGGGGCACCTGTTTTTGCTGGGCGGAGCACATTCTCCACTTTATGTAGTTGATGGTCATTTTTACCTGCGACTGTCGTTGTGTTTGTTTGTGTGTGTGTGTGTGTGTTTGCTCCTGTGCCCTTGTTGCTGTGTTTCTTCTGTGCCGCTGTGGGCCTTGGTGCCACCTCTCTCTTTCTGTTGTGGGTTTGTGTGCTTGCGCGCAGGTTGCGCAACAGTCGATAATAAGCCGAGTCAAGGAGAGCAACGAGATGGGTGCTTGTGGGTCGAAGGACTCGACGAGCGACAAGGGGTTGGCGAGCGATAAGGACGGCAAGAACGCCAAGGACCGCAAGGAAGCGTGGGAGCGCATTCGCCAGGCGATTCCTCGTGAGAAGACCGCCGAGGCAAAACAGCGCCGCATCGAGCTCTTCAAGAAGTTCGACAAGAACGAGACCGGGAAGCTGTGCTACGATGAGGTGCACAGCGGCTGCCTCGAGGTGCTGAAGTTGGACGAGTTCACGCCGCGAGTGCGCGACATCACGAAGCGTGCATTCGACAAGGCGAGGGTCCTGGGCAGCAAGCTGGAGAACAAGGGCTCCGAGGACTTTGTTGAATTTCTGGAGTTCCGTCTGATGCTGTGCTACATCTACGACTTCTTCGAGCTGACGGTGATGTTCGACGAGATTGACGCCTCCGGCAACATGCTGGTCGACGAGGAGGAGTTCAAGCGCGCCGTGCCCAAGCTTGAGGCGTGGGGCGCCAAGGTCGAGGATCCCGCGGCGCTGTTCAAGGAGCTCGATAAGAACGGCACTGGGTCCGTGACGTTCGACGAGTTTGCTGCGTGGGCTTCTGCAGTCAAACTGGACGCCGACGGCGACCCGGACAACGTGCCGGAGAGCGCGTGAAGCTCGCGGCCGCAGAGTGACGTGCCCGCGCCGTCGCCAATGTAAACACCGTGTCCGCATGCGGCGGGGCACCTGTTTTTGCTGGGCGGAGCACATTCTCCACTTTATGTAGTTGATGGTCATTTTTACCTGCGACTGTCGTTGTGTTTGTGTGTGTGTGTGTGTTTGCTCCTGTGCCCTTGTTGCTGTGTGTCTTCTGTGCCGCTGTGGGCCTTGGTGCCACCTCTCTCTTTCTGTTGTGGGTTTGTGTGCTTGCGCGCAGGTTGCGCAACAGTCGATAATAAGCCGAGTCAAGGAGAGCAACGAGATGGGTGCTTGTGGGTCGAAGGACTCGACGAGCGACAAGGGGTTGGCGAGCGATAAGGACGGCAAGAACGCCAAGGACCGCAAGGAAGCGTGGGAGCGCATTCGCCAGGCGATTCCTCGTGAGAAGACCGCCGAGGCAAAACAGCGCCGCATCGAGCTCTTCAAGAAGTTCGACAAGAACGAGACCGGGAAGCTGTGCTACGATGAGGTGCACGGCGGCTGCCTCGAGGTGCTGAAGTTGGACGAGTTCACGCCGCGAGTGCGCGACATCACGAAGCGTGCATTCGACAAGGCGAGGGTCCTGGGCAGCAAGCTGGAGAACAAGGGCTCCGAGGACTTTGTTGAATTTCTGGAGTTCCGTCTGATGCTGTGCTACATCTACGACTTCTTCGAGCTGACGGTGATGTTCGACGAGATTGACGCCTCCGGCAACATGCTGGTCGACGAGGAGGAGTTCAAGCGCGCCGTGCCCAAGCTTGAGGCGTGGGGCGCCAAGGTCGAGGATCCCGCGGCGCTGTTCAAGGAGATCGATAAGAACGGCACTGGGACCGTGACGTTCGACGAGTTTGCTGCGTGGGCTTCTGCAGTCAAACTGGACGCCGACGGCGACCCGGACAACGTGCCGGAGAGGGCTTGACTTTTTCGTATTTTTTTTTTTGTGCGTTTCTTTAGGATTTTTTTATCGTTCTGATTTTCTTCATTGTTTTTTTTAGCTGAGGGCACAGAGGGTGGGTTGCGGTTCTTTTTTTTGGTGGTTCGTTTCCTGTTTGTTTCTCCCTATTCCTACTTTTATTGGTTTTTTTTTTGTTGTTGCTGTTTTCGTGGACTGTTGTTTATTGCTTGGTTGACGCAGGGTACCTTCCTATCAGTGAGAGCTCTTTTCATGGGGTGCTGTGGTTCGAAGGAAGATACATGTGGCCTGGTTTACATGGAGATGCGCCGACGACTCGGTGTGACGCCAACAAGTACCGAAGATGCCGCCTCGACAACGAGGCGGAACTCGGAATTTAGGAGAATATTGGCCATGAATAGAGGGAAGTGTTGGGACGCCACTGGGGCGGTCTGCGCTACGGTCGAGCAACTTCAGATATTTGCCCACGAGACATGGCAGCTTTCTTCGGTTCATGCGTACAATGAACAACTTCTCCGGGACGCCGCAGAGGATATCTGCCGTTTCAACAGTGTCTTTTCTGCCGGGTTTACCGTTGTCCTGCGGCGATGTGACTATCGACCGTGGCTGTTGTGCATGTGCGAGTTCTATCGTGTGATGAGCGTCTTTGAGAAGTTCAAATTGTTGGCGAATGGAGGCTGGGAGAGGAAAAGTATTACAGCCCTGAGCCTCACAAAGTGTTTAAATGCATTGAAAACAGAGTTTGCATCCGCCTTTGCGTCGAGTAAAGGACCTGGTTCAGCCTTCCAGCCTCCCGCATCCGCCTCGGCAGCTGCTGTGTTGGAGGAGGTCTCGCGGTGGTCCCGTCATTCTTTGAGTTTCGGAGAAGGGGACGACGGCGGTGCGTCTACTCGTGTTGTTCCACTTGTGACTTTGGTGCGTTGGCTGGTCCTGCGGCATGTGATGTCGCTCTCTTCTGAATGGACGCCCTCTGCCCCGGCGACGCCAAAGGAGAGGGAGAAAAAAGAGGAGAAGGAAGAGGAGGAGGAAGAAAAGGAAGAGGAGGAGGAAGAAAAGGAAGAGGAGGAGGAAGAGGAGGTGGGGGAATTGGAGGAGGCAAAACAAAGTTGGAACGAATTGTTTTTGCAAAAGAGGTTGTTGCTGAGGCGTGTGCTCGGGGACGTTTTGGAGCTGACGGCTTTCTTTGATGCCATCACTCGTGGAACGCAAAGGCTTTCGGAGGCAGATGCCAAAACGGGAATGTACGAGCACTTTGCAATGGAGGAGTGTTTTGAGAATCGATCGGTTCACGATACGCTTGTGCAGTTGGCGTTCCGTGCGGCGGTGAAGGAATGGGGGGACGATCCTTCATGCATCAAAGCCATACCTCCTTTTAGACTGTTCTTGCAGGCGTACATCGCGGTGCTGGAGCTTTACCATCAGGTGATGAGGCATGAGGGCATGTCTTGTGGTAAAGACCCCTTGTATGGGTCACCCGCTCCTGATTTGGACAGGGAGTTTCTGAGGCATGTGCTTAAGGCGGTGTGCAGCGACAGCGATGGCAGCAACGACGACTGCGCCGTCCAAGTTGTGCGTTCCCTCTTTGGTGAATACGACGACTCCAGGCAAGTTTCTTTTCTGCAGGTTGCGAGTGCATGGACAGCGCGCCTTGTGCGGATGGGGGAAAGGAGGGAATTGAAAAATATTTCTGAGCTGTTTCATTCTCTTGGGCTTTGCGATCAAAGCAGAAGGGCATCTCTTCTTTCCTTGCTTTTGGCTCATGGGTGGGAATCCAACGAGACGGCGGCGATGTTTAACGCTTTGAGGGTGGAGGTGGACTTGCCGAGTTACAGCCACGCGGATGAAGTTGCATGCGCCTGCGTCTACAGACAGTGGGTGACGGAGTGGGAGATGTGGGAGCGAGTAGCCGCGTCTTCAGGAGAGAAGGGGGATGGAATGGATTCTTACAGCGCGGATGGGAACAGCATCCTTGCAGATATCCATTTGAGACGTTTACTACACGGTGTGTATGGCGCCATGGTCGCCGTGAGAGCGTTAGAGGAAACGTTTTTACAGGACGATTCCGATTTTTTTACGGGTTTTAACAAACATGCATGGAGTGCCGAAACACCTGTGCCGATGCAGGCTCGTTCTAATGTTCTGCGTGTGTCGACCGTCACTCTTGGGCTCCAGGGTTTTGGCGAGGCGCCAGCGAGAACAACTGAGGGGGGCAAGGAACAAGGTGAAATGGACGGACCGGAGATGGAATATGACACAGTCCTGTCTTTGGTGCAGTATGTTTCATCGTACTATGTGGCGGATCGAATGCAATGTTGGAAAGATGAGGCATGGCGGCGTTTACAAACCACATGGCCTGTGAGCAACGGCGATGCGCGGCTGCATGCATTCTTTCAAAGTGTCATTCCACAGGAATACAAGACGGACTTTGCTTCAGAGGGAGAGATAGATGGATCGCATTCTTTCTGTGATAAACTCTACGCGCAGTATGCCTCTGATGTTGTGCCCATAATGTCGTCGTCAGGGTTTCGGGCCCTATGCTCCAAAGCTGTGCGCGTTGTAGGCGATCCCAACACCTTCAACCTCACTGTGGAAGAACTCCCTACATTTCTGAGGTATGTTTTGCGGTACATGCACGTATTGATCTCGTTTGGGGTGCCCCACAATGGCCATGTATTCGATGGTGCAGCGATAACATGGGACAAAATGCGGGAGTGGGTGCTGCGTGAACTTGGGGCCGCCATGGACGGGGTTCTTGAGACGGAGCTTAAGCAGTTTGCAGCCAAACACGAGGATGCTGTCTCGCTGCCGGACTTGGCAGGCTGGTTTGCACTTCGGGGGGCAACCTGGGGTTTTGCTGGGGCCCGGATGCACGTCTGGATGCACAGCGTGCGAGAAATGATTCCAGTTAGGGCCACAGCTGGCGACAGGAAAAAACGTCGAGAGCTCACGAGTGAATTCGGTACGGCCGACCACCATATACCGATTGCCGCCCTCATGGAGCTGTGTTCCGTACGCTACAAACTCTGGCGGGTTTGGCCACTGGAGCTTGGAAGCGGCTTCGTGTTGTTTTGTGTGCGAGAAACCAACGATGTTTTGCAGCGTTTGGACCTGAAGGATTGCCGAATACACCAAAGGGACCTCTTTTTATTGCTGCTATTCATTCACACTTACCTGGATGTCTTTCTTGAAGTGGAGTGCATGGCTGAGAAGAGGTCTGCTGCCACAGGCAACCCAGAAGTAGCGGCGCTGCAGGAGGAAGGCGATGCGGGAAAGATGTGGCACTCAAAAAGTCAAGATTTACTCGCATGGATGCATGCGCCGTGGGAAGATGACACAATCCGCTCTGCTCTGCAAGAAATTGTGAGGAGCAGAGGCCTGGACGAGGAGACATTGTTGCGCGATATTTTGGACAGCGGGGCGGTGCCGCGCACCACGTCCCACATGGCCCGTTCTGTGGCTTGTTTTGTGGCTCGTGCCACCGTTGCCTCCGCATTTCAGCAGTTTTATGAAAAGGCAGCGGAAAGGCGTCGGTCAGAGTCTGTCTGGCGCCGCCTGCGTGAACGACTTCCCAGCGATGACTCGATGGAGCAGCGCGGGAAGCGTCAGCATCTTTTTACGCTCATGGACGTGCAGGGTCGGGGGATTCTTACCTTGTGTGACCTGTACCGCGGAATGGTGGAGCTGCTCGCCCTGCATGAGTTCCGCGAGGACTTACAGCCGGTTGTTTTTCGCGCCTTTTTTGCCACGAAAGCGGTGACATTTCCGCAGAGGAGCGTGGTGTACCTTACCGACGGCAACGAGCAGTTCATTACGGCCGCGGAGTTCCGCGCGTTCCTCTGGTACGTGTACACTTACTTTGAGCTATACCACATGTTTGACACACTCTGCATGAATGGTCCGAACCCAGCGAAGAAGGAGGTGTCATTGGAGGCGTTTTTGGCGGCTACACCGCTATTGAGGAGTTGGGGGTTTTGCGTTGACGACATGGTGGCGGCATTTGCGACGATTAGCGGAAGATGTAAAGAAGGGGGGGCAATGTACTTCACAGAGTTTGCCGTGTGGGCGTCACGGCACCAGCTGACACCAGAGAGATGCTTCCGAGACGAGGAATACGAACAAGACAAGGAAGAAGAGGAAAAGGAAGAAGACACGTTGATGGGGCTGAGGTGTGAATGTGAGGACAAGGATGGGGGAAGATGCAACGCTGCGGCTTGACCGTACTGCATTAACTTTTCTTTTTTTTTTTTTTTCTGGATTTTGCTACCCTCATTTTCCCTCATATACTTATATATGTATATATATATTTATTGCTTGGGCTCAGTGGGAAATGGAGCGAGAAGGAACGAGAGAAAGGCAGGAGGGGGGAGGGTGCACTTGTCATGTGTGTATGTGGACTGGCGAGAGTTAACATGACATATATATGTATATTTGGTTTTAATTTGGTCCTGTGCATTATCGTTAGCAGCAATGACACCCTCCCGCCGTAGGGAGTTTCAAAAATGCATCGTCATTTCAATGAAAAGCCACTGGACTCTTATTCTTTGTATCAGGCAGCAGTGCCTTTGCGTGATGCGTTTTCCATGTTCACGGCAATGCGATATTGGTTGGTGACGCAGGGTTTATTGCCAACGATGTGAGCCGTATCTTTTCTTGATGGGGAGGAGTGGCTGACAACACACACACACACACACACACACACACACACATTCTTCCTCACTATTTCTTTCTTTTTTAAATTTGTCTTTTCCTGCCCGTGGAGTCTTGGGATTCCGTGTGGCTTGGATGGCCATCCCGCTGTGCTCGCAAAAAATTTTTTTTTTTTTTGCGGCCTTCAGAGCAAATAGAAGTGAGGGAGAAGAAAAGAGGGGAGTGGGCGCATATGTGGGGTTGATGGCGTCTTCATTGGGTGAATTGTGCCAAATGTCGTGCGGGGGCCGGTTCCCGCGAGGGGAGCCACGGGCGGTGGCGGCGGCCTCAGCGACAACGAGGCGCACACGTGCCGTGCTGTCGTCACCGCACACACGGCGCTGCGCCACGGCGGGGGGAAACGCTGCGATGTCAACAATGGAATGCAAGGGGTTTGCGGCCACCATGCCACTGCCGCTCGCCAGCGGCGGTGGTGGTGGCGGAGCCGTGCGGAGCCGTGCGGCGTCGCGGATGCCATTTTCATCCGAGTTGTTCTCCCGCTCCGTCAAAACGGAGCGACCGCCGACGCCGCGGCGCGACACGTGGGGGGCTGACGGGCGGGAGGAGGCGGACGGCAGCGGGCTGCGGGTGGCGTCGCATGCGTTGACGATGGGGGCCCGTCCACGGGCGCAGGACTACGGGCCACGCCACGCCCAGCTGTTGTCGCTGGAGCGCGAGCAA